GGGGGGGTAGATGGGTAGATGGGGGGGGAAGGTCTCACTTGCTCGTTGTCCCGGAAGACGGAGCTTTGCTGAAGCATGGCGTCTACCAAAGTTGTCTTGCCGTGATCTGTAGTAGCAGAGAGAGACAGACAGAGGACAGAAAGACATCAGAGAGGGGGGAAGAGGGAGAGAGGGAACGAGAGAAAGAGAAAGAGAGGGAAGGGGGGGTTGCGCGGGGGGAGACAGGGATAGAAGAAAGACAGGGAAAGAGACGGAGGAGGACCGGCGTGAGAGAGTTCTATTTCTCGCGAAGGCGTGATGATGACGCCCAGCTGTCGGCTACAGTTATATGTATGTTATCGAGAGTCTCGGCTAAGGCCAGTAGTCTATATACGCAGGTTTTTCTAACTAAGAAAACATACTGGATAAAGTATGGCACCGGCTTGTGCAAGAAGTATGGTTAGGGTCTGCGTACCCCCTCCCCGGTCTCTTTCGTGAGAACCTCACTTTCTTTGCGTCAAGAAGCAGCACGCGAAGGCCCGGTCTTCAGTTCTATAAAGGATCTGCACGGCGTACATACTTTGCATCATGGTCGTGATCGCATGCGTACCTGACAAACTACGGTAGTTGACACAAGATAACAGACACCCTGGACCGACTATCAAAGCCCGATTGCTCCACGACGAAAACGATGCCGAATGCGTTTTCGGACAAAGCCCTCGACGAGACGGGTCCAACGTCGCCATTTTCGGCACCGCCACTGCTGTTCGTGCTGTGGAGTAATCGAGCTTCGAAAAAACGGTCTGGGGAGCATGGCATCTTGTGTCACCAATGGTACAGCTGGTGACCAGCGATGAACCAAGCGCAGCCGCGTTGTATGCTACAGTCAAGACTTCGAAGTAGATTGTTTCGTTTGTTTTCTCGATCGGTGAACAGCGTGAACTCTGCAACAGCTAAAACATGTGGCTGCATTGTTTATTCCTGTTTTTTTGCTGGAGGACTTCCTCCATTGCGCCGACAACCTAGCGGTGTGCTTCTAGATGATTCCCTGAGCACATGTCCACGTCCAAGTGTCATCCTCTCGCCAATTGCCCAATCACACCGATCATGCGCATTCGGTGCCGTTGTTTTCAGGCAGGGCGGGGCTACACGCTCTCCACGCGACACTTGCATGTAAACGCCATGCATTGTGCCATCCAACAACGTACAAAGTGTCCGGCACATCGACGACAGCAAGAAAGGCTGCAAAACAAACAAACTGCCGTATACAAGTAAGTGCGACCAAAACGAAAACCTTTCGATGGTTGTTGTGGCTGCTGTGGTGCAGGCAGGACCGCCGCCGTATATATGTACCTATGCGCGTCGCGGTGATAGGCAGGCAAGGAACACGCAAACACAGCTGCTGTCGAGAAACGGTGTGGGCAGCAGCAGCGGTCGGCCCCTGCAAAGCCGTGGGGGCTAGACGAGCGATCGTTGACAAGTACGTCAGCTGACGAACCACAGGAACAGCAAAAACAACAACAACCCCGTTGCTGTGGTCTGTCATGTTTTCCCCACATCACACATGTGTACACGCGGCTTCCTCTCATCGCTCACCAACGTGCGCAACGATTGCTAGGTTCCGCAGGTCGTCGCGCTTGGTCTGCTCCACGGGCAACGTCGCGACATCCTCGTCGGCCACAGCCTTGACGGGCACGGAGGCGGCGGCGATTGCGGGAACGCGGCACCTGCTGCTGCTGCTGACACACAAGCAACAGAACGGTTGTCACACAAGTTCAACACCAGTCATACGAATACATCGTACCAATCGCACCTGCTGCTAATTGGACGCGATCCGTCAGCAGGAAAAATCATGCGTCTGTCTGTGCATCATTGAACAACAATCGCAACAACACCGTCCACCACTCCGTGGATTGGTTTGTATCTGCACGCCGTAGCATTTTCTCCACTCGCTCGTACCGGTGCTGGGGTGATGGCCTCAGGAGCCCTGGTCTGCCAGCTTGTCGCGCGCCGGCGGTTGTTGATCGTGCTGTGCGGTAGGGGTTGGGCGTGGACACGAAGGCTGTCGTTTCCAGGGCGGCGGTGATAGCTAGAGCGGCCACGCTTCGCACAAGGGGCGCCATGGGGCCTCCCTCTCTTTGCTGGCTCTCTCCCTACCTATCTACCTACCTCGCCTTGCCCCCCCTGCTTGTCTATTTCTTCCTCTCTATGTCTCCCTCTGGCATTCGCTGTCCCTGTTGTGATGCGCTGGCAGAACCGGCCAGCCGGGCTTTGGGGGGGGGGAACATACGTACGTTCGGTCCCCCAAACGGAGACCACGGAGATCACGGAGAACGCGGAGAACACGGAGAACCACACCGCGTGCAGCAGCAGTGCACAGCACACCGCAGGGAGCCGCTCCGCCGCAGCAGCAGAAAGAGTGGTGAGGAGAGTAAGCCGCGAGCGCCATGGGAACACCTCACCAACCGCGCGTTTCTGCTGCTGCTGACGCACGGGAGGAGGTGGATTTCCTCGACCAGTCGCTGCCCGTGTTGGACGACGAGGAGATGGAAGACCTCTATCGACACTTCCTGCTCGACGATATGCCTGAGGTATTGTATTAGGCGGTGGGTTTTTCGAAAAAGTCTTGGTGTCGGGATTGAGATGGCTGTGGCACAGCAGTGGCTGTATAGAGGTTGGTGCTAGTGGTTTGTGGTCTCCGCTACCGTGAGCGAGGGCGCAATTCAATGCCACACAGACGCTCTGAAGGCAGCGTACAACAAAGAAGTTTGAAAACATGCTCAACAGAGCACCGCCCTGGCCTCAAAGCAGCCGCCGCCGTTGCTGTGTCCTACCTCTGCAGTACAGTACGCGTACAACACAGCAGTAGTCCGATGATCGTGCCTGTAGTGGACCGAAAAAATAGACCGGGAGCAGAGTCGTCGGCCTTGTCTGAATTCCCGTCCCCTTTTCCCTTTGTCCCTCTTACCCCGAGAAAGGGGGGGGGGGGGG